GGTCCACCAAATTTAATTAGCTTTTTAATTAAGTATCCCATCTACCGCTCACCTACCACACCCACCTACCACTCACCTACCACATCCCACCTACCGCACCGCTCTCATGGTTTCTATAAATAGTCTCTTTTGGTTTAAGGGAAATGCAAGCCAAGCAAAGCCAAGCAAGGCCAAGTCAACTCATCTTGAGAGCTAAGAGAAAGAGAGAAGAGAGAGAGAGAGGAAGAGAGAGAAGAAAATAAAGATTTTCTTGTAAACGTCAAGGCGCTCGACGGTGTAATTCCCCAAAGAAATAAATCCTTTGCAGCTCCATGAACGTAGGCAAATTTGCCAAACCACGTAAATCTGTGTATCGCTCTGGTGTTTTTTCTGCGTGCAATTTTTATCGTTCCATTTTTCGCTTTATTGTCGTCGTTTTTCACAATAACTGATATCAAAGCCTTGGGTTCGAATCTAAGGAAGAACAATGGGTGGAGACGTAGTGATGACATCGGGGATCGAGAAGTTCAATGACACAGATTTTACTTACCGGATGATGCAGATAGAGGACTACCTCTATGGGAAGAAACTTCATCTTCCGTTATTAGGAAAACAACCAGAAAAGATGAACAAGGCGGAATGGAATCTGTTGGATCGACATGTTCTGGGGGTTATACGATTAACCCTATCGAGATCGGTTGCCCACAACGTCATCAAGGAGAGGACTACTGCAGATCCCATGGCGGCTTTATCGGGAATGTATGAAAAGCCATCGGCGAATAACAATGTGCATTTGATGAAAAAGTTATTCAACTTGAAGATGATAGAATGTTTCTCTGTTGTTCAACACCTGAATGATTTCAATACTATCACAAATCAATTGTCGTCTGTTGAAATTGATTTTGATGATGAGATACGTGCACTGATATTGTTGTCTTCATTGCCAAATAGCTAGGAAGCCATGAGGATGGTAGTTAGGAGTTCTACAGGTAAATTCAAGCTGAAATATGTTGATATTCGTGATTTGATTTTGGTTGAGGAGGTGCGCATGAAGGATTCTGGCGAGGCCTCACGTATATATATATATATACACATATAATTGAAATTTGGGTGTTGATATGTAAATACATAAGATTGAAGTGTTTTGTATGCAAATCATCCTTTTATTTTTTTTGCAGTAAAGTACTGAGTATTACATATATGTTTTAGATTTGTTCATAATACAGAGTTTAATGAGCATAAAAAGAAATTAAGGGATGATTACATGCAGACCACCCGAAACATTGCTATTAACAAATTGACCTCCTGTGTGATTTTCTTGAACTATTGAACCGATGTATTTACGCGTGCCATGATCAAATTATTAAGAGTTTGATAAAAACGAAATATATGGGTTGGGGTTTGTGTGAGAATTTGAAAAATGGATGAAAAGGGTGGTTGGTTTGAAAATACCAATGTTTTGGGTGGTCTGAATGTAATTGCTCCAAAAATTTAGTTTAGTGTTGGAAGAGTGATACTGGGTTTTGTTTGAGCGTGTAAACCGGAAGTTGTAATCGAAGATTTTGATTTTGTTTTGACTACAATTTTGGCAGATTTGTAAATTCTGACTTTTGAGTTGACTTTTATTCCGATTCGAGTCGCTTCTGTTAATATTATAAAACAAGATTTACATACACTCAATTTTTATGTATTTACATATCTAATACCTATATATATATATATATATGCTGGTTGTGGTGACTCTTTGTTTGGCAGCTGTATTGTTAGTCGTGAGTTCTCTAGGATCACGTGTTGGGTAATGTGAAGACCCGGTCAACCTAATTTAATTAGCTTCTTAATTAAGTATCCTACCTACTGCTCACCTACCACACCAACCTACCGCTCATCTACCACACCAACCTACCTCCCACCTACCACCTCTCACCTACCGCTGATCTACATTCCACCTACCGCTCTCATGGTTTTTATAAATAGTCTTTTTTGACCTCCTACCTACCGCTCTCATGGTTTCTATAAATAGTCTCTTTTGATTTAAAGGAAAGACAAACCAAGCTAAACCAAGTCAAGTCATCTTGGAGCTAAGAGAAAGAGAGGAAGAGAGAAATAGAGGAAGGGAGAGAAAAAAATAAAGATTTTCTTGTAAACGTCGAGACGCTCGACGGTGTAATTCCTTGAAAAAATAAATCTTCTGCAGTTCCGTGGACGCAGACAAATTTGTGTAATCACGTAAATCTGTGTGTCGCTCTGGTGTTTTTCTGCGTACAATTTTACTCGTTCTAATTTTCGCTTTATTGCCATCATTTTTTTACAACCAGTATCAGAGCTTTGGTTCGAATATAAGGAAGAACGATGGACGGAGACGAAGTGATGACATCGAGGATCGAGAAGTTCAATGACACAGATTTTGCTAATTGGAGGATGTAAATAGATGACTACCTCTATGAGAAGAAATTTTATCTTTCGTTACTGGAAAAACAACTAGAAAAATGGATGAGGCGGAATGAAATCTGTTGGATCGACAGGTTTTGGGGGTTATATGATTAACCCTGTATAGATCGGTTGCTCACAACGTCATCAAGGAGAGGACTACTGCAGATCTCATGAAAAGCCATCGGAGAATAACAAGGTGCATCTGATGAAAAAGTTATTTAACTTGAAGATGGCTGAAGGTGTGTCTGTTGTTCAACACCTAAATGATTTCAACATTATCACAAATCAGTTATCGTCTATTGAAATTAATTTTGATGATGACATACGTGCACTGATATTGTTGGTTTCATATATTGTTGGCTTCATTGTCAAATAGCTGGGAAGCCATGATGATGACAGTTAGCAGTTCTGCAGGTAAATTCAAGCTGAAATATGATGATATTCGTGATTTGATTTTGGTTGAGGAGGTGCGCATGAAGGATTCTGGCGAGGCCTCACGTTCAAGTTCGGCACTGAATGTTGATTCCAGAGGGAGATCACATGTCAAGAACTCAAACAGAGGAAGAGTAAAATTAAAGTCTGGTCAGCAGACAACCTGTTGGAATTGTGGTAAGGCTGACCACAGAAAAATGAACCGCAAGAATCCTAAGAAGAAGGAGAATGATGGCGCTAATGTTGTAACTGAAGAAATACATGATGTATTATTGCTGGCAGTTCACAGTTCTGTTGATGACTGGATACTGGATTCAGGGGCTTCCTTCCATACATCTTCCCGCCGGGAGTTAATGCAAAATTATGTTGCATGTAACTTTGGGAAGGTACATATGGCTGATGGAAAAACTCTGAACGTGGTGGATATTGCACTCCCTAATAAGAACAAATGAACATTGCAAAAGGTCAGACACGTTCCTAAGTTGAAGAAAAACCTCATCTATGTTGGGCAACTCAATGAGGGTGGTCATTCATTGGTGTTCTCATATAGCACCTGGAAGGTTACCAAAGGAGCATTAGTAATGACTCAGGGTAAGAAAACTAACACACTATATATGACTACAGATTTACTCAGGCGTTGACACATAAGTCAGAGGTGCATTATGAGGAAGCAGAAAAAGATTCATTTCCTGAAAAGTGACAGAGCGTTAAAGGCAGGAAAACCAGACATTGTATAGACAAATAGCGGAGAAACACAGAGTTGTGAAGAAATCTTGCAAGATAAGAATTCGAGCAAGTGGGAGCTGACTAAGAAGGAGGAGACAGATTCCCTGCCAGAGAATTAAACTTGGGAGCTGGCAGAACTTCCACCAAGGAAGAAGACATTGCACAATAAGTGGGTGTACTGGGTGAAGACTGCATTTGTTGACAAGGTAAGAGGTACAAGACTAGACTTGTTGAAAAGGGCTTTCAGTAGGGGCAGGATATTGCTCATGCAGTGGGAGTTGTAAGCATATACGAGAGTAACCCAAGAAAGAGCTTGGTGGTACGAGGCTACATTGACGATGATATGTCAACTGAGGGTGTTACTCGTGAGAAGCTGTAATGTCAACTGAGGGTGTTACTCGTGAGAAGCTGAAGTTGTGCTCAACTTCAGCTGGTCTTTTGACATGAAGATAGTGGCTTTGAGTTGCAAAGGTGGAGGATATCATGTTTGAGAAAAAAGTTGGTATAATATCAGTACAACTAGTAGATGATGCAACCAGTAAGTGATGCAATCAGTGTCTCAGTCTCCAAGTGAGAGAATTGTTGAGTAATGTGGAGATCCGATCTACCGAATTTAATTAGTTTCTTAATTAAGTATCACACCTACCGCTCACCTACCACACCCACCTACCGCTCACCTACCTCCCACCTACCGCTCTCCTACCTCCCACCTACCGCTCTCATGGTTTCTATAAATAATTTCTTTTGGTTTAAAGGAAAGAAAAGTCAAGCAAGATCAAGCCAAGTCATCTTGGAGCTGAGAGAAAGAGAGGAAGATAGAGAGAGATGAAGAGAGAGAAGAAAATAGAGATTTTCTTGTAAACGTCGAGACGTTCGACGGTGTAATTCCTCGAAGAAATAAATTCCCTGCAGCTCCGTGGACGAAGTCAAATTTGTCGAACCACGTAAATTTGTATGTCGCTCTGGTGTTTTTCTGCGTGCAATTTTACTCGTTACATTTTTCGCTTTATTGTCGTTGTTTTTTCACAACAGTCACGAGCTTGAGCCCACCTGAGTGCATCTATCTTATAGTGCGTGTTCGAGTGGTTAGTCTCATTAAGGGTGGTTGGGGACTCGTATCATAGCCTCCAATTATTCACACACACACACACACACACACACACACACACACACACACACACACACACACACACACACACACACACACACACACACACACACACACACACAAACACAAACACACGCGCACACACACACCGCTTTATCTATGCATGAGAAAAGTTAATCAATGGTATTTTTTATGTGATATCAAGACTTTTGGGTGGTAAAAATATAAAAAATGTAAAGTTTGCTTGATTGATTTGTAAATGCATTGAAATTGGGTGGTATTTATCTGAAATGCCCTATTATAAATTGTTTTTTTTTTTCAATTCTCAATCATAATTGATATATCCCAAAAAATTCTTTTGAAAATGCACAAATCTTGATGCATATTAGAACCAAGGGTTTCAAATATTTAGTTACTTATACTCCAGTGCAAATGAAATGTTTTGATGAGATGAGCTAGCTGATATCAAATATAGCTCAACTTGACCTCCAAATGGTGGGTTGTGACGGTCAGCAATAGCGTCATCAGATGGTGGGCAACAGTAATCGATGGTAAGCAACAGTGATGGGTGATTGGCGGTGCAGTCAAGTGGAGGTTGGTAGCAATGTTTAACAGTGGCTGGCGGTTGGTGGCATCTGCAGAAGGCAACAAACTGCGATGGAGGAGCAGGTCGGCGGGAATCATGGCAGCTGAGGCAGATCGGGATCGGGTTACGACTAGGTCGTGCGACTCGATCATGCGACCGTGTTGTTCGCGGGGTTGCTACAGATCACGATCCCATGGCTGCCAACAATTTAGCGCGATCATGTGCATCAATATCCGACTATGTTGCAAGGAAACAAACACACACACATGATACATTTGTTATTGAAATAGAGGACACACTTTAAACACGTCGTTATAATAAATATTATTAATATATATAGCTCAATGGGGTTTTGTTGCAAAAAGCAGGGTGTGGATGACGGTGGTTGACAACGACCAATGAGCGTTGTTCTACAGTTGCGGGAGCGGGAAACATTCATCGGGTCTCACATGAAGGGAGTAGAGTTTTATTTATAGATTTTGGGACTGTCATCTCCTATAAATAATGTTGAATTCTGTACCACTACATCAGACGACCTTAGGTAATTCCTTTGTTAGATGTCATTCTATGAACATTTGAGTGTCTTGATGTTGTCTAACTGCGCTAGATGCTCGATTCGACAATAAATTTGTCAGATTTGAAATTCATGTGACCCTCAACTTAGTCACCTTGTTCGCAAATGACGAGCTTTTTCGACTGCACTAATTACGGGCTTAATGAATTTTAATTAAGTCAAATTATGACTAAAATTTTTAGATAACTCCAAAAAGGCCAGCTGGAAGATTAGGGCACGCACAAATATTTAGGGAATTTATTAATTGTTTTAATATTTTTTTAATTAGAAAATTGTGCTGATCGGAAGCACGACTTCACATTTTAAATTGATTAGTTAAGAGATTGTCAAAGTTGAGCACTGCATGACTTTTTTTTAAATTGATTATTAATATTATTATTATTTAAATGTATGAATATATTTATTTAGATTAAATTAATTGAATAATTATGAAGGAGGATTTACATACATACCACTTAATTCATATGGATTTACATATCCAACACCTAAAATTATCATGCAGGGGTGGATGACATGACATTATATTTTAATGGGAAATTTACGAGCACTTACACATCAAAGATTTGAGTGATATGCATGCAAATACGCATAATTACTTGATAGATATGCAAATACATAAGAATTGTGGTATTTGTTTGTAAATACGAGAAAAATTTGCATATATACCATAATTTTTATATATTTACATATAATTTCTCAATAATTTCATTGTTGAAAGCGTAAATATATCTGTTCAGGAGATTAATTTATAAATATCAATGTTTAATATGAGAATACACAGAGCTGCGTACATATTAGGTTATTAGGAGGCTACAAGTATGTTATACTTAGGTTATATCTCATGTAATTGTTGAAAGCGTAAATATATCTGGTCAGAAGATTAATTTATAAATATCAATGTTTAATATGGGAGTACGTAGAGTTGCGTACATATTAGGTTATTAGGAGGGTACAAGTAGGTTATACTTAGGTTATATCTCCTGTAATTATTGAAAGCGTAAATATATCTCTTCAGGAGATTAATTTATAAATATCAATGTTTAATATGGGACTATGCAGAGTTGAGTACATATTATGTTATTAGGAGGGTACAAGTAGGTTATACTTAGGTTATATCTCCAGTAATTTTTCCTATAACCTAAGTGTAACTTACTTGTACCTTCCGAATAATCTAATATGTACGCAACTCTGCATACGTCTTATGTACGCAAATATTTCTCTTAATATGGTATTGTTTGTAATTATCCATAACAAAATAAATAATTATTAAATATAGATTTCAATTGGATTTTTCAAAAAATTAAAAGCATGTTCTTTATCAGTAAAATCTATTTCTCATCTGCCCCCATTCTCTTCCCCCAATCTTTTAAAATCATCTACTTTAAAATGTCGAAGTTAACAATTATTAAACCAAATTGAACCGTTCGTGAGAATCAAAATCTTTTTTCCCATAACTGATTTAATTTGAATCCATATCCCATAAAACAGAAATCAAAAAACAATAAAATGATAACAAATTCAGAGAAATCAGACCAAAATTAAAAAAAAAAAAGAAGACGAAATTACATCTCAAATCCAAAGATCGAACCATCGAAATCCCAAATTCCCATACAAAAACCCCAAATCAATGGATTATAAGAAGAATCAGAAAGGGGGGAACGGGTTCTTAACCCCTGCAACGAGTAATCGCCGAACATCCACGAGAATAGGGATTGGCTTCCCCTCCAGGACGGCAATTATAATAAGAGGCCCCGCGGCGAGAACAGGGCACACTTCCGCGCTTCAGCGCGTCGTAGCTGATATAGCTGGAAGTCGCCAGGATTCTCCGGCTAGATTCTGATGATAGATCGAACTCCTCTCCGGCGATGCAATCGGCGATCGTCCCCCTGCAACCTGATTGTAGAGGAATCCATCCTGGCCAGTGATCGCCGCCGGCGGAGATAGATGCGATGGAGGTGGAGAAGAGGAGGAGGAGGAAGAGAGATGTTGAGATTCTGCTACTGCTGCTGCTTCTTCTCCTCCTTCCCATGGTTTCCATCATCCTCTTCTTCTTCTTTCCCGCTTAGCTCCGAGTAGAGAAGAAGTAACAGTAGGGGGAGTTTTAAAAGGGTGTAGAATAGAAATGGGTCTATACTTGGTTTAAATTACAACAATATTGCATGTATTTAATGATATTTTGATTATTTTATAAGGGTATAATGGTCTAAGGATAATTTTTTGGGTTTACGCGTGATTATAGCTGTGGCCCTGTTGGGTTCGGTTCACCTACACGTTACTACTTCGTCGCCATTTCACACTTGCTAAAATAAAAACGGGTATTTCCGTAAATACCAGCTAATTTTATGCATTTATACCCCTCAAAAATTTTATATCACAGAAATATCACCATCTACACCTTTTCTTAGAGAGAGAATGTGGAATGCGTGCAAAAATTGAAATTTTGAAATTTAAACAAATAGGCAATCAAATAAATTTTGAATTAGTATATGACTAATTTATATTAATTAAAGAAGATAATGCATAAGTTAAGAATAAGCTTTATAGAAAATAAATAAATATTAACAATTTATTTTTTTTTTGAAATAAGAAAATAAGAAAGAATTACATTTAATTAATATGCATATGAATACTAAATTATAATATATTCTCTTGGATGTATAATTAAACAAGCATTATTTAATTGAATTTCATTTAGATAATATATCAAATTTGAATTTAGCTATCATCGAGCTGGATGTGTGCTAGGAAAATCACAGCTGTAGAGTAATGAATTACCGTCTTTATATTGCACGGAAATTCAAAACACACTCACATAGAAGTAAGCACTAGCAGCGACACAAGAAGTATTTACGCGGAAAATTTGAAAAAGAAAAATTCATAAGGGCTAGCCCTATTGACACATTTAATTATGAGTTAAATATTACAGTGCAACCCACTATGTTCCATGGTTTCTTAGGTTACAATGTTTGTGCATAAAAGGAATTATTGCTCCACGTAAAGGAGCATGTGGTTTGATACAACTCGAACGAGATGGCCAGAAGAGGCGGGGGCAAAGGCGGCCAGAGGCGGTGGTGGCTGAAGTTGGTTGGAGGGGGTGGCGACTGAAAGCAACGATGGTCGGAAGCACTGATGGCGATTGGAGGCGGTGGCTTCCGGAGTTGGTCGGATGTGGTTGCGACCAGAGGCGACAGCAATCAGAAGCGACGACAGCTTGGGGCATCTGCCGGAAGAGGCGGTGGTAAAGGAGACCTGAGGTGGTCGGAAGCGGCGACTGCGATCAGAAGTAATGATGACTCGAGGCGGCGATAGCGAGTGGAGTTGGTTGGATCTGCATTGCAGGATGCAGGGTTGCAGAGCTTACTATAAATCATTTAATAGGTTACTTGTTAAAGAATGGAAGAATTTGTTCATAAAGTAAATGAATAAGTAGAATCATATTTAAGTTTAGTTCATTTAACATTGTAATTTTTAAAACTGAATCTTATAGTAAGGATATTATTGGTCAACCTTACGGAAGGACTTGGCGAAGTTCGCACAAAGATACAAGCAATGTCAATAATTTGCTCTCATATGATTATAACCATATTATAAGCTTCAATCAATCACAAGTCATTGATCTTTCACCGTATGAAAGCTAGACCTTATAGGTTTTTTTCCTCCGAGTAAGGGTCAACAGAAGATCGCTCTCGTAAGGGTTGACTATTTTCTAAAATGATTGAAGCTGAACCACTATATGTCTGCAACTTCATATGGATCGATATTGTCTATCGATGCGGACTATCCATCACAATCATCGCAGACAACGACACTAAATTCGACAATAAAAAAGTTAATAACTTTTAGAGCGAGCAAGGAATGCAACTCAAATATACTTCCGTGTACCATCCAAAGACCAATGATCAAGTGAAAGTAGCAAACAAATTGATCATCACTTGCTGAAAAAAGAACCTCAAAGGAGCAAAAGGATAGTAAGCTGAAATCCCACCCTTTGTATTATGTGTGTTACAAACTACGACCTTCACTTCTGCCAAATACATTTCTTTCATCTTGTCACATTAGAATGTACTTCCAATCGAGTATAACATACATACTCAATGGGTCCTGACACCCTTAAGTTTTGAGGAGCAAGAGTTGGATGAATGGAAAGGCTTAACGACAAAAACCTATGCAACTCGCAAGATCTTCTAAAAGAACTTCACAATCAATCTGCATTGCGATGGGCGAAAGTCAAGAGAAGAACATTGAAATAGTATAGCTCAAAAGTCAATGAACATCAATTTAAAGCACATGATTTAGTCCTGTAAAAGGTTGACGTTGCATCTCGCAACCAAGCAGATGACAAACTTGATCCTTCATGAATGGAGTCATTACATCGTAAAAGTGCAAGTTGGTCCAAATACATATAAACTAATCGCTTATCTTGTTTAAGGCTAGGACATGGAATGGAGATGATCTTAAATCTTTTATCCCCACAACATGGCGATGCGATCACATTTTTTGTGTAAATAACAATTGATGTACTCATAAGGAAAATAAAGCTAAATATTCAAATGTCTTGCCTTAATTAATGTAAAAACACAAATATACAACAAAATATAATATAACTTTGTGATTTGCTTAAAGAATTAATTCTAAGTAAACTACTAAACCCTTGAAAAAAGTTTGTTAAGGGATAATCTACTATCTTCTCAAGAATATTGAAGGCCACTAGGTAGTAAGAAAAATCTTGTGGGAGCAGCTTGCGAGTCCTCAAGAGGAAATAATTCCTGAAGGAGAGTTAAAAATCTCCTGATTTTGAAAGTCAATTTGTACTTCAAACAACATTATATTATTCTTTAGAAAAATAGATACTCACGACGAACTTGGTTTTTAAGTAAAATTTTTTGAAAGATATATCGATTGCTCATAAAAGGAGTATCTAACAATAAGGACTAGTATTTTCCTTCATTCTTATCCCATGTAGCAAAATAAAATATTACTTAAAGAATAATGAGTGTTCACAAACTCAACATCTCAAGTTAAATTGAGAAACTCGCCTGAAATCCAGGCTCGAGGAACTCTTTATAAGTTACAAGCGTGAAGTCGTTATAGCTCTAAGCTTGAGGAACTAACTCAAAATATAAAGATAAGAAAACTCGCGATAGCCAAAGAGAAGACATGGATCATAAATACAGATATTACAGTCAATCACAGGTCGAATAATAAAAAAAATTATACACATAACAGAGAAAAGTACTATAATAAGAACAACTTGACTTGAAGTTACATATTATTGAACTATGATACATGAAAAAGGAAGGAAAAAAAAAAAACACATGGTACACATTCCATATCCCCAATCCTCTACGAAATCAATCAAAATTCCTATATTCCCAATCCCTAAAAGTTTTTACAAGATCAATGTTGTAACTTCTCTTATCAGAGAATTATCACAAGAAGACTGATTAATATCTCAGATGGTCGAAGAAGGCTAACTATGCTCATGATGCAAGCCCTTTTTCAATGAGGATCATAGTTAGACTCATGAAACATTGCCGATATAGGCATCATGAACGACGAGATAGTCGGCAGGACTTAGGGTCCACAATTTAGCCTTACTTGTAGAGGATTTGGCATGTGGAATTTCATAAACATATATCCTCTACCGAGTAAAAGTCCTTCAGTGACCCCAATGGAAGCCTTAAACTCCCTAAATTTGACCAACCTGGCTTTCAAATTTATATCCTGCCTAGAATGATCAACGAGGATAGTCTACTTCCTTTTTTATGTTACTCCTCTGATCACATCATCTCCCTCTATATATCCTGCTCCGTTCAACGAGAACATGCTAGCCATATTTACTTTAGTGTTTCTCATAGATCACTCATCCACCCGTCTTCAACTTTTTTCTTCAACGTCTCCGGCTTCGACGTTCTTCTTCAATGACATTACGCTACTTTCTTCTCCAGTGACACATCTCAGATTGCAAGCCACCTTCGTGTATCCTCCCATATGGAGACAGAAGACCATAAAATTTGTTCACTTGATGAACTTTTTGAAATTTGTGGAATCTCACTGTCAATGTGTTCATCCAGTGATATATATTCATTGTCAATGCCATCTCCCATTAAGATGAGAAAAAAAGGGAAGCAAGTTGATGGTCTTACAAGCTCCAACAAACAAAATTTGATGCATGCTAGAAAATTTTTCAAATTCGCAGTAGTAGAGTAGTTGATTATCGTTTTAGTGTAGCATGAGAATTACACACACTCGGATAAAAGAAAAACAATCAATGATGACACTATAGGTTTTTATATGAAAAATCCGTAGAAGGAAAAAATCACGTGGCTTGACCCAGTTATAAAAATCAAATATTGATTGATAATTACAAAAATTCATTGTCCCACAGACGGGAAATGGTTGGTAAATTTTTCAAATTATAAGTCTATTGACGGCGTCTGATTAGAGGTGTTTGACGACGATCGGTGGCTATCAATGGTGGTCGACAGTGGTCGACGGGTGTCTGCAACGATCAACAACAGTCGATGGCGGTCGACAGTGGTCGACGACAATGTACAGTGGTCGACGATGGTCGCGCTGGCCGACGAAGGTAGGCGGTAGTCGCGGTGGTTGACAGAGGTCGGTGGTGGTAGATGGCGATTGGCGGTGGTCGACGACGGCCGACAGTAGTGCTAGATTTCAGCTCCTTCTCAAAACCTCAAGTTCTCTCTAAAGGCTGAAGTATCCCCTCATGAGAGGACTGAAACTTTATTTATAGTGTTCTGAATGCAATTAATGCAAAAATATGAACCATTTTGACATACGACATTTAATGGATATTTGAGTGCCTCAATGATGTCGGAATTGAGTGATCTTAGATTCGTTGGATTTGTCTTGTCGAGACGCTCGATTCGACCATTATAACTTAGAAAATCTACTAACTATTTTCCGTCTGTGGGATAATATAACTTGATCTGAGCTTGGTTTGACTCGGATTGAATTATTTTTTATATCTTTGGATTCGTTCCATCGAGCCGGTCAGTTTGACTATAAGTTTATCGAAATCGGAGCTATGAATGACTCTTAATTAGAGTTCGAACGTTTCTCACTCAAATGATTGCATCGATATTAATGTCATGTCTCGAGATTCGTGCTAGATGATAAAAATTTGTTTGTGGCATATCAAAATTGATCTTTTTTTTAAACCACGACATCCACAATCAAATCTTCATTCACCGCTCACTTAAGGAGACAATTATTGCAAGAGAAATAAATAAAAGATTGAAGGAAAGATAAAAGGAGTCGCATGTGCCTATGATCATATCTAGCAACATCATCTTGGTCTCCAACACATAGAGGTTGGCTACCATTTTATTCGGGATCATATCAAGCTACATCATCTAGATCTCCAACATATCATGGCTTCCGATCAACCGTCAATACGACTCACAAAATCGCTTCCCACAACTAGACAAGATTTTAACCAACAAGCTCACCTTCCATTACAAGGATCATTCACTTGAGAGAGAGTAAAAGGACTCACCTGTGCCTCTGAAGGAAGAAGGCTCAGAAGGACCATCTCGGAGACAGAGGACATGTTCGAGACGGAATCATCAACGAAAATGTGGGTTGCGTAATATTAAATTTTGAGGTATGAGATATGTAAATAATAATATATTCTTCATGCATCTAAAAACTATAAAATAAATGTATTCTTAGAATCTGTTTGAGGCAGTTGTAGCTTATCCAACTTATGCTGATAAACAACTTATCCCAGTTGATCCGGATAAGCTGACTGGCTATTTGATTTGTCCGTTTGAAAAAAAAGTAAATTTGCAGTTGTTTCTGAATAAATGACTATTCTGCCTCTATACAGTAATATTATTTGCAACAAAAATGTCATAGCAATATATTTGTAAAAAAAAACTTCAAAACATTAAAAAAAATTTAGATAAAGTCCTAAAAATAGTTATAAAATACTAATGAATGATATCAAAAATATTATAAAATGATTTTATATATTTTTACTCATTATTATAAATTGCTTATTATAAAATGATAAGAAGTAATATAAAAAATATGAATAAATTCAATCAAAATCCTATGTCGCGATCTTCTTCTTTGATCCTTCCCTATTCGAGATCGCTTCGCCGCAACAGCGTCCCACGATTTTCTTCTTAACTCCAAGCCTCGTTAACGTACCTCCCGTGATCTCTGTGTTCACTCAACATCGTGTCTCCTTGCCGATGTTCGCTACCCTACCGATGTCGCGCCTCCCTGCTGCAACCCACGATCGTGACCGAAGGAAGAGAAGGAGTGCCGAAGAAGCCGACGGCTGTGCAAGCTCGATCGCAAAAAAAGGAGAAGGCAGCGGGTTCGATCGAGGGGCAATGAAGTAATTTTGTAACTGAACGCGACGAGGAACACTGCCCGCAGGATCATCCTCACGGGCGACATTCTTCATAAAATAAAAACGGAGTTTTTTAAAATGTGACCGAAACACAAAAAATAAACAATAAAATGTTGCCCGCTCTTTTAAGCTGCCCCAACCGGCCCTTAGAAACCCTAAAATAAATTCGTTTGGCTTTCCCTTACAAGTTGAACAATGAAAATGAGAAAAAATGCAATAAAACAAGTAATTACTTTATAATTAAAAGGGTAAATCCGTTATTTCCCATGACAAACCTAGACCTATAAATTCGCCGGCGGCTTCGTCATTCCAGACGGAAAAAAACCCTAATCGCTACGCCTCCTCGTGAAGGGAAAGAAGCGGATCAAAAATGGTAGGTCGCTTCGCTTTCGTTCCAACATTCTTCTGATTAGGCTTTGTGGCTGGAAAATCAAAGAATTGTGCTACTGTTTATGTGAAGAAAATGCGTTATTTTTCTTTTGCAATTCTAATTGTTATCGATTGATTTTCGTGATGATTTTTCAGTTCTGCAGTGCTAAATATATTTTTTTATTTGTTTGGTTTTTTTACTATTCTGCCAATATAAGATCTATTGCCATTTCTTTGCACTTTCTAACAAGTTCTTTTAATTTTTGCGGATAATTTATTTTTTGAGCGAATTTGTAATTTTGTTTTTCATCATTGTAGTACTATTGACTGCCAATGTGTTCTATATTAGCTTGTATGTCCTGCAAATCATCTCGATCCAAGCTTTTTGGGGTCTGATTTCTGCTTCCGGATTCTCTGTTTGTGTCTGCTGAGCGCCTATCAGATGTTCTTTCTTTATAAATTTATTCCCGAATATTTGACATTATTTCTTTAGCTGTTTTATGGGTGAATTGTCTACTTTCTACTGTGTTCATCAATCTGCTTCATTTTAATTTATACTATCTTAGTTTCAATATGTGCTAATCTTACACAAAATGAAAAATAAGTCTTCTTTTTGAGCCGAGTCTTGCAACAAATTGAGAAAGCGAGCATGAATTGGCCTGTTGTGAAACTGATTTACTGCATTGGGATAATATATTAATTGTTCAAGAAAAAAAAAGTTTTTTTTTTTAAATTATGAATTTATGATGAAAAACTTATGAAATCTTTATGAAGAATGTATTTTTTTGAAGATTTACATACAAACCACTCAATTCTTATGTATTGACATGTCTAACACACAAACTTCAATTTTTACATATATTCCACCTTACCTATGCATGAGAAGGTGTATTTAAAATTTTAAAAGTTAAAATAGTGGTATTTTTGATGTGATATGAAAGATTTTGGCGGTATACGTGTAAAATGCAAAGTTTAGGGGTTCGATATGTAAATACATTGGATTTGTGAGTTATTAGAATTTTCTTATGAATGTTACTAACATGCTTTACTTTTACATCATATTTGTTTTTATACTTTAGAAATTTTACATGCTTTGATCTGCAAGTGGGGTTAGAGTATGTTTTGTGATAAATATAGTTCCAACATGCCATGTGAAATTTCTTTTAATTTCATTTGTAAGAAAATATTATTACTTTCCATATCAATTATGCTTTCTAATATCCGTGTTATTGACTTCCTCTGCAGGCTAGAGGATTGAAGAAGCATCTTAAGCGGCTCAATGCCCCCAAGCATTGGATGCTTGACAAGCTTGGTGGTGCTTTCGTAAGTTAGGAAAATGATTTATCGATATATTTTGCTTCGTCTACTTTCTTTTATTTGAGAAATTTTTCGTTGCATTATAGGCGCCAAAGCCATCTTCTGGTCCCCATAAGGCTCGGGAATGTTTGCCGCTAATCCTCATTTTGAGGAACAAATTGAAATATGCGTTGACTTATCGTGACGTGATTGCTATTTTGATGCAACGCCATGTGATGGTAGACGGAAAGGTTAGGACGGATAAGACCTATCCCGCAGGTTTTATGGGTATGTGAAGTATGAACTTGATGTTGATAGTTTGAATCAAATTTTTAATTATGAATTTTGATTTCATACATGTTTAGTGATTGTTTTGATTTGTTGATTCTATCTGTTTTTTCATTAATTAATTTTTTTGATGCAGATGTTATCCAAATCCCTAAAACGAATGAGAATTTTCGGCTTTTGTATGACACGAAGGGACGCTTTCGTCTGCACTCAATTAGGGATGAAGAGGCAAAGGTTTGTTGATCTGTTTTTGAGTGTGTAGCTATAGTTATTTGTTTGGAAGATTTACAAGCATACCACTCAATTCTTATTTATTTACGTATCTAACGTCTAAACTTCAAGTTTTACATACATGCCACCTTACCTATGCATGAAGAGGAGTATTTCACTTTTTTAAGTTAAAATAGTGATCTTTTTAATGTGATATGAAATATTTGGGTAATATAAATGCAAAAGTTGAAGTGTAGATGTTAGTTTAGTTGGTATGTAAATGCCCCTATTTGATTTTGTTAAGTCTTAGGGTCTAAATTGATCATTCAAGGGTCATGGCGAGACAAACCCGCTTGCGCGAGATATGTGCTATGATCATTACCCATGACTAGTCACCCAAGTGGCCATTTAGTTCAAAAAATGGTTTCTGAGCTGGGCACATAGGTGTGACGTCTTAATCTTTTGCACCTATATCTTATAGTTGGGTTAGAAGGTAATAAAATGCGTGTTAGTAAAAGTAGTCATTCATGTTACAAATCAATTTAATTTACATTGATTTAAGTTATCAGTACAAGCCTAGGTTTGGTTCCTTATTAATAAAAAGGGAAATTTACATATGTAGCTCACACAATTTTTATTTATTTACACATCTCATACTTAAACTTTCATAGTTACATACATAGCACTTTGGTCCATTTGACCTATACATGAAAAGGTGTAGACCACTTTTGAAAGTGGTAATAGTGCTATTTTTGATGTGATGTTAAATATTTGAGTGCTATGTGTATCAACATCAAAGATTTGGCTGTGAGATATGTAAATACATAAGAATTGTATGCTATGTATGTAAACGGCCCTTTAAGAAAGTACTTTAAAAAAACATGCTAATGTGCATTCAACAAATTTATACTCGTAAGCTTCTTTACGAATAGTATGCTTTCTGGATGGATGCTCATAACTATCAACTTGCTCCTGATTAATTCTCTTTTGTCCATCCCTATGTCGACTCAAAACCCGGAGTGCTAGCAATAAAGAGATTTTTAATAAGATACATTTGAAACAGTAATTATAGAGTTCATGCATAACATAATGTGGCATAAATAATATCAAACCTGATAAATAAACAATACAATGTGATATAATTTTTTTTGCTCGTTAGTTTGGAATAGTTACAGCTTGGTTGCATTAATGTCTTAAGCATAAACATCATGTCAACATAATTGTTTAAAAAGTCAAATTCGGGAATTGATGCGTTATTTCTTAGCGAGACATAAGCCTCAAAATAAGCCTCAAAATAGAAGAATTAAAACTCAAATTAAAAATATTTCATAAATATGACAATTTACATAATATCTTGATATAGTTAGTTATTTTCAATCATTGGATAAAAGTAAGTGATATTGATGAGGAAATTGGATAAAAGTTAAATATTTAAATATTTATGATTTTTTTACTTCTATTGAATTTGGTAAGTTTTGGTAGATTCTTCAGCGCACACACACACACACCAAATCTTGGAAGCTAACGGAAAGCTCATAGAAAGATCAAGACATAGAAGTGCAAAAATCCAGTTGACGAAGGATAAGAAAATGGTGGAGAAGAATAAGCTCTGGCAGAACAATTGATGGAGTGATGAAGCGATGCTTCAACAAGTAATGTTGCAAGGCTTGGACGGGACTTAGGCGCTCGACATGGACATGATTGTTTCGATGATGCAGAAGCGATGACACTCGAACCTGCTTAAGATGACGCTTGAGCAAGTGAGGTGGATGTTCTGCTTGGGATTGAGGCATGCCTCAAACACCTCGCTTCAAAAAGGCATAAGCCTCACCCACAACAATGAGGCTAAGTCTTGAGGCACTCCTTTTGCGCCTCAAATCAAGGCACATACCTTGAGCAATTTTTTAACGTTGGTCAACATAATCATTTGCTTGCTCTTTCACGAGTATCACATTGTGACGTAATGCCTTGGAATTTGTTAGCTTCATCCTTTAGAGAGCTGGCACTCTTTGCTGTTGACAATTACCATTCTGTTTTGAGTGCTTACCTCAGACCCATCTCAAAATCACTATGGAGTATTTCATCATATCTTCATTAAGCTATCCTCATGTCTCACATATTTATACAATCCTATGCCATTCATTTCATGTTTAAATTGGTTGGTTCTATCATGCTGGCATAAGATGAATATTTTGAGAAGACGACAAAAAGGGTTAGTGGTAATAAAATCTAAAATGAATGGTGTATAGATCCCACGTCGTTTATCCATATTAAGCATTGCTTTTGGTTGTTTGTTTGGAGCTGTAAATTACCACAACAACAATGTTTTTACTCGGTGCCAATTAGGGGTGAGCATTTGGTAATCGTTTTTCAAATAGGTCATACTATATGCAACTGAAATCCGAAATCTAAAAAGAACCAAACATCAAAATTTTGATAAAACCGAACCGTCTTAATCAAAATTTAATTTGGTTTAAACATTTTGGTTGTGAACAAATCAAAATGTAGTTGCTAGTTTGGAGTTTGGTTATGAACAAACATCAAGTATTACATTTTTTTTATGCATAATATCTATTCATTTAATGAATTCTCCTTTTAATTTTGATTTTTTTAGTTTGTTTGGTTAAATGAAATGACAAATCGTATCAACAACTGAAAATCAAATATTGAAGTTTAAAAAAAAAAAAAAAACTGTAATGCACTTTTGATACCGAAAAGAATGAATCAAGATTCTTCAGTTCGATTTGATTTATCATACCTCATTTTATCAAAAAGTATTCGAGAGAAGGCTATTATCATGCTTAGGTGACAACTTGGAGGCGCCAAGCCACTCTTCACGTAGTAATAGACTAGAATTTCTACTGGTTTATGACAACTAGAAAATTTCCGCAAGTAATCATATGTGTGGGTGAACTGAGAATATCTACTTTTTGCCATATTAAAGTGCATATATTAACGTGAATAATGGGAGCAAATTTGAAAAGATTAACCCAAAGTGATTTTGGTGGGATCATTATAGTGATATATATATTGTTAATTTAACTAAACTAATAGCTTGTACTGAACTATCATTTTACAGATTACTAATTAATTATTCAACCATTTTAAGATCATTTGAATCCTCGTATAATCTGTTAAGTTCATTTTTTACACTGAATTATAAGCTAAATATTTTGCTGCTGAAATTTATCATTGTTATCAGTCAAGTCCGAAATATTTGTGATAAAATTTATGAATATTCTTTATCCATTTATTTTTGTTTATGATTGCATTAGGTGTTAACTCGTATGCAAATTTTTATAAATATTTTGTCACGTTATTTTTGGTGTAGTTTTTCTTCCCTTCACTGTTTTTTTCTCATTAAATAGCATCATTGATAAATGCTACAAAATCTCGTGATATGAAGTTTCTTTTTCAAGTGACATTCTCCAGTATATGAAATAATGAAAAGTTGCTTTCATTGTTGTGGAAGCATTCATGTCGTAATGGATGTATTTAATTTATTCGGCGCTCTTAGAACATGTTCTACTTTTTGGGGAATCTGAGTCGAAGCAATAACTAGGATCTTTCCCGTGAAACATTTTTCACTGTCCCTAGAGAGATAGGTTCTTGAATAGATCCAGGGATAAATAATTTGACACCCATTCAAATGCAGATAATGAATGTTTGGAATATATATCATGCAAAAAGTCATTGTTGTTAATTCAAATTGAAGGTTGATATCAAATCAGACCATTTTTGGCATCATAATACATGGTTAGCACTTTTGTCATAGTTAGCAATTCCATATTAATATCAAGTTTTTTATCACTATCATCATTATTATTGATATCATCAATAAGATAACTTTTAAGCTTGTGATCCAGGAATTTATTCGGAAATACCGCAATGAAAGGAGTGTAGGAGTTGTCCAATTCCTATAGAACTTATCAATAAAACCTCTAGAAGGGGATAGGGCTATGAGGTTTGTGAATAACTGATTGTATGATAATAAGTAATATCCTTCTTTATACTGAACATGATCCATTGAACTCATAATTCATTATATCATTTTGATGAATGTCAAGCAAGTATGGTAAGGAAATTGATTCCGATTGTTCAATCGTTTGATAACTAGAACCATTTTTTGATAAATGATGAGTCAAACTTGATAAAATTTGATCAATCCTTTTTTTCTATTATTATGGTGGAGAACTGAATCAAGAATTCTATATTCGCCATCAATCAAGTCCATGCTCGAGACCCAGAATTCTATTTTCTCATCCATCGAATCACCATTTATATAATAATAATAATAATTCATTTTATTAATCATCAAGAGGTGAAACTCCCTGTGGTCATCTAATCTATCCAAATATCCTATTCAGTTTTACAGTTTTGTCTAGCTGAAGACTTGTTTTGTTTCCCAACCATGATACTATAGCCTGTCTAACTGAACCTTTACAATTTTAGGATACTTATGTAAATTTTTCTATATTCTTTATGTTCTCTTTTGAGGGAACACTTGAAAGATTTCTGCATTTTAGTTGCTCTTACGTTTTTTGTTTAGAAGTTGAATCTCTCTCTCGCTCTCTCTCTCTCTCTCTCTCTCTCGCGCGCGCGCGCTCGCTCCGCGTGTGTGTGTGTGTACATATACATGCTTACACATAGTTCAGATGTATTTACACATTTAACACTTTAATTTTTACGCATATACCGCCTTATCTATGCATTGAAAGTGTATTTTTGATTTAACATGGAAGACTTGAGTGGTATAAATTATCTACTTGCATACCACCCAATTCCTTTGTATTTACATATCTAACATCTAAACTTAAATTTGTACATATACCACCCAAATCTTTCGTATCACTTAAAAAATACCACTATTTTAAATTCTAAAAAGGGAATACTTTGATTCATGTTTAAATCTTTCATACCACGTGAAAAACACCACCCTTTGAACTTCTAAAAATGGAAATACAACTTTTCATGCATAGGTAAAGGTGATATGCATTAACAATTGAAGTTTAGATGGTAGATGTGTTAATACATAAGAATTGAGTGGTATGTTTGTAAATCTTCCTAAATATATATAGCAATTAATCTCATTAGATCCAATTTGAGGCTGACCATTGTTTTTATATGTTCTTCTACACTCGTAGTTCAAGCTTTGCAAGGTTCGTTCCGTTCAGTTTGGGCAGAAAGGCATTCCTTTCCTGAACACCTACGATGGCCGCACAATTCGCTACCCTGACCCTCTGATAAAGGCGAACGATACTGTAAAACTTGATCTTGAGTCAAACAAAATTGTCGACTTCATCAAATTCGACGTCGGAAATGTTGTGATTGTCACCGGAGGAAGGAACAGAGGCCGTGTTGGCGTGATCAAGAACAGAGAGAAGCACAAGGGAACGTTCGAGACGATTCACGTCCAGGGGCACGAGTCCGCGACTCGACTCTGTAATGTGTTCACCATTGGAAAGGGAACAAAGCCTTGGGTCTCTCTTCCTAAAGGTAAGGGTATTAAGCTTTCTATTATTGAGGAGGCCAGGAAGCGCTTAGCTGCTGCTTCTGCTGCCACTGCTTGATGTTTCTGAGGGTATTTAGAGAATTTTCGTTTTGTTTTGTTGTGTTTTGAATGAAGAATGAAGAATTTAGTGGACACATTTTGTTTGTGGTTTGTTTATTGTAACTTGATGTTTTAACTGGGAGTTAATTTGCTTTGGATCTGGAAGAGTTTATTAGTTAATATATGTTTAGGGAAATTTACATACATACCACTCAAATCCTATGTATTTACATATCCTGCACTTAAACTTGAATTTTTACATACATGCCACCTTGTGTATGCATGGAAAGGTGTATTTCATTTTTTTTAAAAAAGTTAAAATGTTGGTATTTTTTTATGTGATATGAAATATTTGGGTGTTGTAAATGTAATAATTAAAGTATTGGTGTTAGATATGTAAATACCTAGGAATAGTTGATATGTATGTAAATTTCCCATTTATTTATTATGCTCTCCATTTCTGCTGCTTGAGGAACCAGTGATACATAAACACACGCACACACGCACACACGCACACACGCACACACGCACACACGCACACACGCACACACGCTCACATATATATATAAACCCTAAATACACACACGTGTGTGTGTGATTCAAATTTGTGACTTGATAGTGAGAGATTAAATTCTCAATCATTATGTCACACGAGTAAATATACAATTTTTTAGTTGATCATCTATATTTATGGAATGAGATGTACATTGGGTGTATGCATATAATATACACAACGGACACCCTGCACAACCCCTAGTGGGCACATGCAACCATCCATGTGTTGAATTTGTGAATCGCACCCCAAGATTGGGTGTGTGGTGAGTTGGAGTGCACATTAATGAAGAATAAATTCTTGTCTCTCATAAAATAATCTCCATGTGCTACAAGATATTTTAGGTATTTCTCGTGTATGGGCCTATAGTCGGCTACCTTTTGGCTCGGTTGGTTGAGTTTGGTGAGCTTCGGTTCGGTGATGTTTATTCGTTTGACTATGTTGAGTTGAGATTGTCGGTTGGCCTTCGATTGGCTTCAGGTTGGCAAGATTAGCTCGGTTTACTTGTACTAGCTTTTTCGATCAGCTAATCTTGACTGACTACCAAAACATCGATCCATGGTGAAGTGCTCTAGCTGGTTGAGCGATGCAAGGCTATCAGGCGAAGATTGAATCATCTTGACCCGATATGTTACTCGCTCCCTAATAAGAAGATCCAAAAGAATGATTGATTTAGATCTCTTATGATATTGTTACCTCTTGATGCCTGATAAGTAGCGTCTGGGGTGTCCGTGGGATGATTGATGTTATTGAGAAGCTATCTTTCATGAGGTCCGATCTACTGAATCATTGATTGCTGGCATTGATAGATAGTTGGCTTGCGTGCCTATCTTCCCTGTCTTGGTCCCGATGGCTTCGGGCTCGGACCATCTGGTCGCCTTTAGTCTTGTTGGCTCTAGCTCGGACAGCTGCATCTGATCGGCTTTGGTTTGGACCAGCATGTCCAATTAGATAAGCAGGGCTCAATATTTAATAACTTATCATGAAGTTAGCACGACATATTTATTGAGTTTTTCAAGTTTTTTAAATAATATGTTACATGAGAGGGAAACTAGAAGTAAATAAACCAACAATAACTTTTTATTTTTAAAACGAAATGGATATCTAACGTCAACATAATCGCCGTCCGGCGTTCCTTCCGGCGGCCACTTTCTCCTCCTCCTCCTCAATCGTATCACTGATCCCACACCCCTTCGTCTCCGGCAACAAACCGGCGAACAATCCGGTGAAAACTATTACCGCACCAAACACCCCAAATGACAGAAACTTATACCTCCTCCCCGCCACTACCATCACCGGCGCTCCGGCTCCGCCGAGCACCACCACCTGTCTCACCACCGCTATCGCTGAGTTCCTCACGCATGTCGGAAACAGCTCCGCACCATATATGATCATCACGCTGCACGCCGTACACGCCGCGAAGAACGAACCCAACTCCGCCGTCATCTCCACCCATCCACCGTCCGTCATTACTGTACAGACAAAGCTGCAGATTCCGCTCATGGCGGTGAACGTAATTATCGATTTCCGCCTCTCCATCCACCGGATTAGGAAGAAGGAGGCCAGCGATGACGGGAGCTCTGCGACGGCGTTCAGCGCCGTGCTCAGGTAAAGGTTAGCGCTGAGGTTACCGAGGTTTAACGGCATGCCGTAGTAGACCGTTCCGATTCCAAAGCTTACCACTGTAATCACCGCCAGGCGACGGAGAGCCCATGGCCTCTCCCATAGAATCCTCGCCGCCGAGAAGATATCGTTCTCCGTCGACGTGATTTCGATCTCCGTCAAATCAGAGAAGCTTTGTTTTTCTATAAAGGTGAGATTTTTAAGCGTTTGGATGGCTTCTTCCGTTCTCCCTTTTACTAGAAGCCAGCGGGGGGATTCTTTCATGGAGAAATGGAGGATGATGCTGTAGAAGAAGCAGGGAATTGAGGTGTATAGATAGAGAGATCTCCAAGAGGATGCTCTGTTGAGGAAAGCGATGGCGGGGAGGGAGAGGAAGCCGGTTGTGTAGAAGAAGAAGTTGAGGATACTGATAACATCGCGATGGCGGAGGGAGATGAGTTCGGAGGAGAGGACGAAAGCAGAGGTACCTATGTTTGCGCGGGTGAGACCAGAGGCGAAGCGGAGGGCGGCATAAACTGCGATGTTGGGGGACATGGCGGTGAGAGCGGAGGTTATCGACATGAGAAGCGTGGTGAGGACGAGAGTGTTTTTGCGGCCGAGCTGTGAATCGGCTATGGTGGCTAAAAGGAGGCCTCCGAAGAAACATCCGGCGTAGAAGGAGGAGGTGGGGAGGCCGAGGAGAACAGGGGAGGAGCAATACAGGGAGAAATCGGAGATGGTGGAAATGTGATTGGGGAAGGAATAAGACCAGGAGGCGGGAGGGAAAGTGCAGGGAGTAGGGGAGGGAGTGCAGGGGGAGGTGGTGCAGTGCCATGGAGGTGAGGCGTCGGAGAAGATGGAGATGAAAACCTGTTGCGCGTCGAAGAACCAGGCGAAGGCGGCGAGAGCAGGGAGAAGAAGATGGCGCGCTCCGGCGGCCGAATCCATATAGGGTTCGATGGCGTCGTTGATGGAGGTGGTGGGAGTGTTTTTGCGGTTAAAAGAAGGATCTTTGCGCGCTGCTGAGGTGGTGATTAGTTCGCCGGAGGAGGGGAGGAGCGGCGCGGCTGCATCGTCGGCCATTTGTCCGTTTTGTTTTCCGAGGGTTGGGGAGACCAAGGTTTGTAGCGGGCAGTAAAATCTTACTGGTTTCTCGACGATTAATATAAAGAAAAACACGTGGAGCCACTAAATTCCGTCATTTAATTTCTCTTAAATAAATAGGTATAATTATTTCGAACTAAAACTAAGTAGAATAAGGTCTAACAAAATTTTGTTTGTGTTATGCCCATGTAAATATTGACCGCGAAAAATTTTTCTGTGTTTGGCTTGTTTGCTTTGTAAAAGAATCGAACACAAGATTGTTCTCACCACCAACTTATATAGTTTTCTCTTAAGTCTAAGTGGTACAATTTTATCACACAATAAATCCGATGCATTCCTCCACTTCAACATTCCAAATTGAATTCTACTAATAACATCCCCATATATATCATCATCACTTTGAATAATAGACTCGAGATACCTAAAATGTTCACTCCTTTTAAAGACTTGATCCCTGCCACTAGATATATTGGTACTAAAATTACGTTCCATGTATTCAACATTAGATCTGCTCAAACGAAGGTCTTTAGACTCTAATATAAACCGCCACAATTCATGTTTATCCAGAATTCTTTTTCTCTAATCTTATCCATAAAAGGATATCATCAATGGAAATCATGTACTAAGGGTATATCCTCCTCTAAGTATCCAATAATTGCATCCATAACCAAAGCAAAAAGATCTAGGCTTAAAGTCGATCCCTTATGTAATCCAACTGCAATAAGAAATACTCTAGCAATCTTTCTTCTGTTCGAACACAAGTAACAACTATAGCATACATATCTTTAAAGACTTGAATAAAAGTCATATCAAAACCTTTCTTATTTAGAACTCTTTAAAGAAATTCTCTTAGAATTTTATCATAAGATTTTTCAAAATCAATAAAAATCATATGAAGATCATCTTTACTCTCTCTGTTCTTCTCTATCAAACATCTCAACATATGTATAGCTTCCATAGTAGATTGTCCAGCATAAATCCAAACTGATTATGAGAAATATTTGTATCACGTCTTAACCCATGTTTAATCACTCTCTCCTATACCGAGTATATTATAGTTTGAACTTGGCTTGATATAATTATATGATGTTCATTTTTGGCATGAACTTGTGTCGAGCTTTCATATATCGTTCAAGCTTGATTTGTTTAAACAAACGAGTTAGTATTTTATTTAACTAAATTTTATTTAAATAATATATATCATATATAATACGAGCTATTATAAAGCTTAATGTCAGTATTTAACAAGTTACATGTTGAATAACAAATGAGTTCGTTCATGAACATTAAAGAACAAGTTCGATTATGTTCATGTTTATTTCATTTAAGCTTCGAGATTTCAAAAGCTTCGAGATTTTAAAAGTTGTTTAAGCTTATTTATTTGCTAATTTGAACGAATATGATCGAGTCTTAATCCAACGGAGTTCAAGCGTTTCATATTATTCCTTTACTGAAATTAACAAATATTTACAAAAAGATTGGATCTGAATGTTCTGATCATTCAGATCCGTACTGTAAGAAAAGCATTTACATACAAATCACATGCTTCTTATATATTTACATAAGTACATTGCACCCCTAAATTTTTATATTTACGTAAATATCATCGTTACTAACTTTATAAAAATGTAATAATTTAAAATGTAAATATCAAATTTTAGGTGGTAGGTATGTTACAAAAGAATTGCTGCTCGGTATGTAGATTTCTTAGATAAATAAAATAAAAAATATTTATATAGTATACTTATGTCATAAATGATCTAGGAATTATAAAGTTTATCATGATTAATTTTTTATGTTTTTCTTTTTTAAATTGGAGTAAAAAGAATAATATTTTTCTAATGTTACGTTGCGTACATGCAGAGCTATCAATTTTTTGTGATAATATTAAATATGTATAAATATATATATATAATATATCAAAAAATAAAAATTTTCTCTTTTTTTTAAAATTTGAAATTATTAATGATGAAATTAATACATTATCAATGTAATTATGTCATGTGATATCTTCATTTTTTTTTAATTTTGATAAATTTACCTACATACCAAACATTCGCATCTATGGGCCCATTTTCTGTCCGGACACCTTACGTACATCTACGTGCGATGCAGGTTATTCCTGAGTTATTTTCAGGTTATTTCTGGGTTATTTTCAATAATCCCGAAATAACCCATAAATAATCCAAAAATAAAGATCGCGGGTTATTTCTTGATTATTCGTGATTATTGAAAATAACTCAGAAATAACCTGAAAATAACACACGAATACCCTGCACCGCACGTAGAGCTACGTCGTCCCACAGACTTCCGCTGCTTGAGGTAGCATTTGCAAAAATTCCTTCTCGAATACATGCGTTTCGGTGTAGTGTCTGTGTCTGTGCTCCGTCTTTCTCCTTGTATTTTGACGTATTGTTCCCGCATTACCCTTCCCGCATTACCCTTCCAAGATTTCTCCTTTCTCCCTCTCTTTGCTTCAATTTCTCTCGTCTGTTCAGTTATCTGTCCCTTCCCTCTCCTCATCTTTTGAAATGTGATCATGAAACTCGAGCTTTTATGGATGATTTGGTTTATGTTGAGAATTTCACCATCGGGTTTGAAGTTCTTTGATTTTGCAATGACAAATTGGTCATGGAGTTCGTTACGCTTCAGTCTTCTCTTCTTTGGCTTTGACGTTCTTTGAATGTTCTATCGGTTTGTTGTTCCATAAGTAGGGTTTTTCGCCTTCTATTGTTTGGGTTTATGATGGTGGCTTGTTGATCATTGAGGTTATGCTATGCCTAATTTTCTAAATTTTATTAGGACGTTTACATACATACCACCCAATTGTTACGTATTTACATATGGGACACCTAAATTATACTTTTTCACATTTATATCACCTAAAACATTATATATATATTTATATCACCTAAGTTATAGATGTAAAAATAAAATTTTAGATGTTAGATATATAAATACATAGTAGTTCGGTATATTTATGTAAATATTTCTAATTGACAAGGAATAATTGGACAAAAGACAGCAAGAAGAGATGCAAAATATAATTTTTTAATACATACATATACTATATTAAAAATAGCTTTCAGTAGCACCTAAGTCGAACAAGAACAACACGAATCAATATTTATTCGTTCGTGTTCTGCTCTTGTTGGCTCGAAATACTACTAATCAATTATATATATATATATATATATATATATATATTTGATGAGTAATATTTTAATTAACTACTAGGCTGCAAAGATTTATGATCAATTAAAAGTATTAATTAAGAAAAGAGAATAAAAATTATTAAATTAGATTCAAGTGATCTTTTAAATCTCGACCCAATCATAACATCTTATGACTACCTGATTAGGTTGTCAAAACGAATCTCTGTTTGTGAACGGCTCGTGTTCGGCACACTAGGCAAACGAGCCGAACACGAACACACTTTTTGAGCTCGAAATATAAACAAGCCGAACAGGAGATGAGCCCTCGCTCGTGTTCGGCTCGCTTACACCCCTATCCGCCTATTTATATTTCTTTTTGTTAAAATAGCTTATATTTTTATGTTTATTTGTCTGCTTCTAAGTTGAGCTTGGAACTCCATGTCACACAAAAATTACATTTAATCAATTTCTATGTAATTCAAATACTATTTCAAAGATAGAGTTATACAATAATAAAAGGAAATATAAAAAAAAAATGTATTTTAAGAGGATAGCTTGGATAAGATTAAAAATGAGACATGAAACAAATTTTAAAAATATATATTTTTTGAAATAAATAATTACAAACATACCACTCAATTATTACATATTTATATTTCTAAGACCTAAACTTAGATTTGTACTATAAACCACTCAATTCAAATGCATTCACATATCTAAGGCTGACCTTTTGCTATTTACAGTTATGCCACCCAACTCATACACTTGTTTTAGACAATGCCACCTTTCTTCACTTTTGAGCACTGGAATGCACCTATTTCATGAAAACGTGCAGTGGAATTACGCAATATGCGAAGTTTAGGGTGTTAGAAATGTAAAATGCACAGTAAATGACTGGAAAAGACTAATGCCGCGTAACATTTACATACATACCACTCAATTCCTATGTATTTACATATCTAACACCTAACTTTCATTTTTTACTCACATAGGTGCATTCCGCTTTTTAAAAGTTAAAACAATGATATTATTTATGTGATATGAAAGTTCTGGGTGGTATAAATGTAAAAAAACAAATTTATGTTGCTAAAAACATAAATTTTTTTGTAGTGCTATATATAAATATATATATGTACCTTATCATGCAAGTGTAGGAAGATCCAAACATACCGAGAATGTGGGCAAAACCAACCAAATGAGGACAAGCGGGCGACTGACCGGAAATCCACCTAAGAGCCGGTCAACCCGAGAGACAACCAACTTGGCTGACCAATCGACTCAGAAGCGGATCAGACAAAGTTTGGTCGACGTTCGAAGCCGAGTGGTATACTCGACCAAAGGTCGACTAAAAGGTGATCGACCAACCATAAAATGTTAATGGCCTATTTGTCATTTCACAATCTAAATAAAGGAATAATGAATGTTATTAGAGTTTGTTGTTGGAATTGTGGGCTCAAAACATTTATACTTTTTAAAATGAGCATCTTCAGTTGTTATGGGCCCCATTTAACTTGTCCGTTTCAATCATAGAGTACGGAAATTTTATTCTTTGACCCCATCTTTTTATAAAAATAATTTACTTTGGCTTTTGGTATTTGGGTTTTTGTTGTTTAATGGACCACTTAGAAAGCCAACATGTCCTTGTTACAATATGTTATGGCACATTAATATAAATTGTTTCTTACATTGGATTCAATTCTAAAGCCTACTCAATGAAGTTGCAACAAGCATGAAGAACTCTACATTTATATACTATGCAATCATATTGATACATGTTATCGAGTTTCTTTTATGGAACATATGCAATATAATTTATAATATTTTTTTATTTATGTAGACTTCCACGAAGTAGTATGTTATGACCTAAACTAGTGCACTGGGTGTGATAAGGTGAGCCGTGAGGTACCCTAGTCAATGTTAGGA